TTTTTTGAAATATTTTTACATCAGAAATCTTGTGTTAAATCGAATTTTGATATTTTTAATTTTATTAAATAAGTTAATTCAAGTTTTATTTATTTTTTAAATAAAAAAATTATTTATATGATTCAATTATTTATTTTTTTAGTTCTCTGAACATACCCAAATAAATAATAAAAAACCATATCAAAGAAAAATAACTTAGAAGGCGATCATCAAGACTAATACCAAAGCGAGAACGTAAGTTCCAAACGACCCACTTTTGTTCACACAAACTTCACATTCCTTGTCACCTTCTTTGCATGGAGTGTCGTATTTGTCTTTGCACTTCTCGCACTTTCCTTCTTTTTCAAAGTACTTTTCTGGGCAAATGTCAACACATTTGTCTTCAGATAGGAAAAAGTTTTCTTTGCACTTGTCGCACTTTTCTTTGGCTGCACACATCATGCACTTATCCATGCACATATCACAATTGGTTGCGTTTGCTTTATAGAACCCGTCTTCACATTTCTCAACACACTTCATGGTTCCCTCCTCCAACATCTTTGGTGAAACACACTCTTGGCAGTCATTTGCATTACTGCAGACTTTGCAACCATCAGTGCATTTCTTGCACATTTTGTCGGCTTCAGATTTGTAATACATTTCTGGACATTTGTCTTTAACACAAGTTTTGGTGTCTTCAACCATTAAAGAGTCGTCTTTGCAAGCAGTGCACTTTGTTTCCTCAGTGCAAGTTTTGCAATTATCTGGACAAACGGTGCAAACTTTAGCTTTTGCAAAATATCCATCTGGGCAGTTTGCTTTGCAAGTTTTGTCTTCTGGTTGAAGATTACCAGTTGTGCATTCGGTGCATTTTGTTGCTTCAGTGCAAGTCTTACAATCAGTTATACACTTACCACATTTGCGAGTTGAATCACTTGTTGTGTCTTTGAAATACCCATTATCACAAGTATCGAAACACTCAAAGAGGTCTTCTTTCAAATATGTTTTGTCCTTGCATTCGTAACATTTATTAACAGCACACACTGTGCATTTAGTGTGAGCAGCCAAACAAACTGCCATATCATATTCACAGTAATAGTTGGCACCATCAACACTCAAGAAATTGGTTTCACATTTCTTGCACTTTGGTGTGACTTCAGCCATTTTACCTGATGGTGGTGCTGCAGAAGAGACATCAACACACTGGAAATTGGTGCATCCCGCCTTGAGAACTGTCAACTCACCAAATTGGGTAGCTGTGTAATTGTTGGTGACATACACATTCAAATTGCTGTTCAATTTAGTACCTGTTGGTATTGTTGGTGCTGCAGTTCCATGGAAGAATAAGTTCTTTACACTTGTCAGGGTATCTGATAATGAAGTGAGTGGCGCATATAAATTGAGATTCTCAAGTTTATTACAGTCTTTGAACGCATCCTTTCCAACAGTAGCAACTTTTTGTGTTCTGGAAACATTATTTAAAACGGAGCATCCCATAAAAGTACCTTCAGGAATCATTGTATTCTCGGCTAAATCTGCATGTGTCAATGTGGTAATTCCTTCAAAAACACTTGTTCCAAATGTAATTACTGTTGGAATTGCAATATCTGTAACAGTTGTGATTCCCTTGAAAGCCGAATTTCCAAATTTGGTCACTGTTTTGCCAAAAGTGATTGTTGGCATTGCTGTTTTTGCGAACGAGCTTTCACCAAATGAAGTAACTGCTTCAAACCCAGTGACTGTAGCCAATGTAGTGCATTCACTGAATGTGAAATCTGGGATTGTGGTTATTCCTGTAACAATTGCTGATGTCAATGTGGATATTCCCTCAAATACATGTATACCTAATGTAGTTACAGTGGTTGGTATAGTTATAGTAACCAATTTTGTCTTTCTAAAAGCTGCATCACCTATTTTAGTGACTCCAGTAGCAAAAGTGAGGGTAGTGATAGCAGTGTTATCAAACGAGCTTTCACCAAATGAAGTGACAGCTTCTATTCCGGTGACTGTAGCCAATTTGTCACATCCATTGAATGTAAAATCTGGGATTGTGGTGATCCCAGTTATTGTTGCAGAAGTCAATGTGGTTATTCCTTCGAATATGTGTTTTCCTAATGCAGTGACACCAGTTGGAATTGTAACAGTCACCAATTTGGTGTTATTGAAAGCTGCATCACCAATTTTGGTGACACCTGTTGCAAAAGTTATTTCGGCAATTGCAGTGTTGTCAAATGAAGACTCGCCAAACGAAGTGACTGCATCAATGCCAGTGACTGTTGCCAATGCAGTGCATCCTTTGAATGTGAAATCTGGAATGGTTGTGATCCCTGTTATTGTCGCAGTTGTAGCTGTTGTGATATCTTCGAATACATGCATTCCAAAAGCCGTGACAGCTGTTGTCGGAAGTGTAATCGCTGTCAGTTTGGTTCCCATGAAAGCATTGTCTCCAAATTTGGCAACGGTTGCTGCAAATGTGACTGCGGTGAGACCACTCATCTTGAATGAGCTTTCTTCGTATGTTGTGACAGCTTCATTACCAGTGACTGAGGTCAACAAAGCACATCCCTCAAAACACTTTGCTGGAATTGTAGTGAGGTCTGTTAATGCGATTGTCGTCAGTTTGACACATCCACTGAAAGCTTCTTCACCAAGAGACTCAATTTTGTTTGTAATCGTGACTGTTGCTAATTTGATTGCACCTTTGAATGCCCTTGCTCCAATGACAGCTTTTTGTGATGGTTCATACACAAAACTTGTGATCTCCTGATTATTCATAAAAGCCTCATCACATAGTGGTTGTTTATCAGTTGCTTTAATTGTTAATACTCCTGTACATTTGGATTCACCA